AGGTCCCATTTGTGAATTTTTGTTGTTGTTGTTGTTGCAAATGCTTTTGGTGTCTTCTTCATGATATCTTTGTCAGGTACTATGTCCAAAGTGGCACTTCTTAGCTTATCTTCCAGGATTTTTATAGTTTTAGGACTTACATTTAAATCTTTAATGTCTAGTTATTTTGGATATATGGTGAAACGTAGAGGTTCAGTTTCATTCTTCTGCACATGGCTAGCCAGTTATCCCAGCACCATTTGTTGAATTAGGACTCTTTCCCCATTGCTTGTTTTTGCTGATTTTGTTGAAGGTTAGAAGGTGTGAAGGTTTCTTTCTGAGCTCTATTCTGTTCCACTGATCTAAGTGTCTATTTTTGTACCAGTACCATTCTGTTTTGATCACCGCAGCCTTATATTATAGTTTGAAGTCAGGCAATGTGATGCCTCTGGCTTTGTTTCTTTTGCTTATCATTATTTTGGCTATTTGGGCTCTTTCTTAATTCCAAATAACTTTTAGATTAGATTTTTCTAATTCTGTGAAAAATGACATTGGTATTGATAGAGATAGTGTTGCATCTATAGATTGCTTTTGGAAGTATGGCCATTTTAACTATATTGATTCTCCAACCCATCAGCATGAAATATTTTCCCATGTATTTGTGTTGTATCTGATTTTTTTCACCCATGTTTTGTAGATTCTCTTTTTCCATACAAAATCTGGTAGAATCACTTATTTATTACTCCAGATCATGGAGGAAAAATGAAATAACATTAATTCTCTACTGAGTAATACAACAAAATTCTAAACTCAGTAGCTTTTAGGGAAATATAACTTTTTATTTAAATAACAGTACAGAGCAATAAATTACTAAAGGATACAATCATTAATATACATTTTTTGTTATTAAATAATTAAACAATTCTCTTTCAAGGTATGGAAAGAATCCCTGGAGGTCTGAAGTCTAACATGATTGTTTTCCTGACAATATCATTTGCAAGAAAGAGATCGTCTTTCAAAGAAGTACTTGATTTTCCAAACAAAAACAGAAGAAAGAAAATGCTGACATATCTTGTTTAGTCAGCCAGAACTTTAAATGCAAAAATTCCATCAGGTAGCACCAAGAGAAAATTGCATAATATGTTAGGAATAACTCCTGGTAAATTTGTTGGCAAAAAGAATCAAGGCAGTGAATGAGCTGTTGGGTCCATGGTGTCATCATGATCTGCTAGAGGCCTCTGGACATACACAGTAGGTAGTGGGCAAGTCGCCAGCCAGAAGGATGAGTTTGATCGAGACCCTGCTCACAGGGGCTTTTTGGTATCATCTTTTTTTTTTTTTTTTTTTTT